AGGAATTGCTGAAACCCTGGTGGGGACTGAGCATGATAGTGGGACAGGAGGAAAGTCAAGGGAAATAGAGGAAAGATCTGGGAGGCAAAGGGCATTTATAGAGGTCTAGATGAAGACACTCTGACAATCTTAGCAAAATAAAAAAAGGAAAAGGAAAAGAAAAGAATAACCACTGGGAAGGGTGTGGAGAGATGGGAACACTTATACATTGCTGATGGGATTGCAGAATTGTCCAACCACTATGGCAAAAAAGATGGTACTTCCTCAAACAGATGCGCATACAAATACCTTATGATCCTGCAATACTTCTCCTTGGTATATGCCCTAGAGAAATTAAGAACAAAACATAGATATGCTCACCCATATTTATTTTGGACGAAAACAAATTAAAAAAACCTCTGCATCTGTGGCACAATGGATAACTAAATTCTGGTATGATGACATATCACGCCTCCTTAAAAAATAACAATAAGCTGTTAAACATGTCATGACATGGACAAAGATGGAGGACATCATGCTCCACAAAGGTAGTCAATCTCATAGAGAGAAACGTTTCATGATATTATTATAAAGGGAAAGAAATGGTTTTTGAGTAGGCCAGGGCTGGGGCTGGGGTTGGGTAGGACAGAAGGTAGGGACAGGGAGACAAGGAGTGAGGGCGGGTGGGAAAAAACAAATAAAACAAAGGGCCATAAGAAGAAAGAACCAGAGACAGGTGTGTTGACTGCGGCATGGTCACGATTTTGATGAAATGTGTTGTGTGAATTATGCTCCATAAGTAAACTGCGGAACCAGACCTTCCCCTTGGAGGAGAATTGTGGTGGGTTAAGACAGGATTTGAGGAGATGATAAGGGGCACAAGTGAAAGAGTTTGGTTCCCCCGACAGGAGGTTATTAATCTGCTGCCTAGCCTTACCCCCGCTATTGTACAAACCCTTCCGGGAGCAGGCTGCCTCATCTTTCTTCCTGTGGTCTGACCTTGTGGTCGGCAGCCCACCTCATAACCCACCCTGCCACCTGGGCTCCCTTGTACGTGGGAAAAGGATCCATGAATCAATTTTGTCCCTCCTCCTTGCCTTTTCTCTACTGGTCCTTAGAAAAAAGACTGCAAGGATCAGCTTTCTTTTGCTTATTTAACAACAAAGCATTCTCTCCCCTACTGAAGGCTACGTACTGGACTCAGAAAATGCATTTTTGCATCCTTGATCCAAGGTTTTGTCTTCAAATATGCAATAAAATGAAAACCAGTGGCCATGAAATCAATAAGGTTACTTACGGTGGCCCTATAATAGAACTGTGCCCCGATAATTGTTTTTTTAGAAGTAGATCACTAGGTCTTTCTTTCGTGGTGCCCCCAAGTGGATTCCAACTTTCAACCCATTGGTTAAGAGTCAAGTGTATTAACCTTTTGCATAAGGTGACTAGACGTCCCGCTTTTGGCAGGACAGTCCTAATTTTAACAATTTTTCCCACGTCTCGTGGCATTTTTAAAAAGTCCCGATTTTTGGAAAGAATGCACGACAAGCTAGGGCATACGGTTTTAGGCTGCCATGTGGCTATTTCTCCAGGATATGAGTTTTATCAATGGTATCCCGCTTCACCAATGTTAAAATCTGGTCACCTTACGTTTTGCACCACAATAGTGTAATGTAGTGGGACAAGGGTGTGTCCAGGGAAGCCAAGTAGACCTGGGATTCAATTTTGATCTGTCTTTTATTAGTAAGTTGTCCTTGTTCTATTACCCCCAATTCCCCTCTCTGTAAAATGATGATAGAAAAACGGCTTTACGGAGTCGTGAACATCAATTGGCATGTTGTATGGAAAACATCAGCATGCTGGGAAGTCTTCAAAATGGGAACTAATATAAATGATTCTTCGTCAACACAAGGAATCTTAAATATAAATGAAATCTTCACTTGAGACCATTCATACGGATAGCAGGTAAAGAACTTTTACTATTTCTGATCTCAGTGAGCCGTACTGTTTCCGCCCAGGCTGGCTTCTATGAAATGTTGATGGCTGGCATTTAAGAGGAGCCTGGTGGTGCAGTGGTTACACCTGTGGCTGCTAACCATAAGGGCAGCGATGTGAAAAGACCAGCAACTCCATGGGAGAAACGTGAGGCTTCCTACCCCTGCGCAGAGTGACCGTCTCAGACCCCACAGGGGCAGTTCCCCCCTGTCCCACAGGGGCCCTCTGAGGCCGAATGGACTCCATGCACTGAGTTTTGGTGTGGTTTTTGATATTAATAGACCCAGCGTTGTATTCTTTTGGGATCCAAGCTTAATGTTGTGTTGAAGATTTCAACTCAGCTACAGGTAGATGCCTGGTTTCTGTAAGATCTTGGACCTATAGGTGCCAATTTTCATGATGGAATCAGCATAAATAATAATTAGGTGAGAAAAAGAGGTGATGGCTTTATGATGCGTTAATTAAGTGAACATAGACTTAAAACATATTAAAGGTGAGTGATTGTTTTCTACTAGCTTATACTATAAGGGGACTGGGTGGTTCTGTCAAGTAAGCTTTGGTGGTTCAAACTCAGCAGCTTCTCTGTGGAGAAAGATGAGGCTATTTGCTGCCATAAAGATTTTCAGCCTTAAAACCCCTATAATGGGTCCCCATGGGTCGAAATGGCCTGATACCATATGTTTCAGTGTGATATTTGGACTAGTGGACTAATTTACCGGATAATTTACCAGATAATCCAAGTCACAGTACACTACTTAACACAGCATCTTTTATAAGAGGTTAGTACTTCTCATCCAGCAACCTTGGTGGCACAATTGTTTAGCTTTTGGCTGATAACCAAAAGGTTAGCAGTTCAAACCCACCCAGCAGCTCCAGGAAAGAAAAGCCTGGCTATTTGCTTCCATAAAGATTACAGCCAAGAAAACCTTAATGAGGCTGTCTGTCCCCTGCAACCAGTGCGAGTCGCCAGCAACTCAGCAGCACCCACGACACAGGCAGCGCCTCTCATCACATTGTGCTGTTGCTCTTGACCTGCTCTGGTGGGGCTTTGGCGATGTGTTGGGAGCGTATTAGGGATTTTGGAAATCTTTGCATAGTGGCCATGGAAGGAATCATATTGTTCTTTCTTCTTTTATTCGGATCCATGAAGTTTGATGTGAGCTGGTTAAAAGTAGAAAACAAACAACCTCAGATGGAGAGACCAGGAAATGAAACCAGCCAAGCCACAAACAAGGAAAGTCTATTAAAAGAGAACACCGAGCTACGGCAGGAGAGCAAGTGTTATTTACAGACCTCGTTTTAGTTCGCGGTTTGAACTGCGTTCCCACAGGTACCCCTCATTGTGTTCCGCTTTTCTCTGTTGTGCTTCCCTACAGATTGCAGGCTTGTGGCAATCCAGCATCCAACAAAGTTGTTGGTGCCTTTCCCCCCGACCCCGCAACAGCATGTGCTCATTTTGTGTTTGTGTCACGTTTCTCGTAATATTGCACACTCTTTCACATAATATTATTGCATACTCAGCAGACTACAGTGCACCGTGAGCATAATGGTTTTATACATGGAGAAACAGAAAACATTCATGTGACTTGCTTTACTGAGAGTCCCTTTATTACGGTGGTCTGGCACCGAACCGAGCCATCTCCAAGGTATGTCTGTACTTACACTATCGTGGGTGAAACTCAAACATACAGAAGAGCTGCTTAATTTGGCCAGCAGGTGGCGCTAAAGACTACTCTGAGAAAGAACTACGCTAGCAGGACCCATCAGTTTCCCTTTCAGGGGGAAAAAAAAAGCCCGTTATCAATAGACACTCATATAGAAACACTGGTACATCATTTAAAATATTTTCATCAAATTCATCACTCTCCTAATTTTTCATTTAGAAAAATATTCCTATAAAGGTTTAAAATTCTGCCTTGTAATTCTGATTGTTTTTGAAAATATTACTTCCATTATTAGAGGAACACCTTTCTGTAATGATTTATGATATATGCCATTACCAGACTCTATGAGATGGTTAGAAAGGAAGTGCATTAGGTGGCCAGCCTATCCTCACACTCTTTTTGTGCTTTGCACATGTCCAAATATCTCCCCAGTGCTAAGGATCCTCTCAGACTCCGGGGGCACCCTGTGCCGGAGGTAGTGGGCATTTTTGACCTTTGCAAACAACTCTAAGTAGGTTGACTCTGTGGCCATCTCTGTGACATTTCCTGAAGAGACACCCTCCATGGGCCCTGAGGGAATCCCTCTTCCAGGGACCTGGTCTGCTTCTGGGTTAGCGTCTGGCCATCTGCCTTCCTCAACAGGTGCTCTTGCACTGTCATCAGCAGGCCTAGACCCAGGGCCTTGGCCTGTGGGACTGGTGGACACCTCTTGACCTTGACCTAGGCTAGGGTCTCTGCCCTTAGGGGGGGTGACAGGATCTTTCTCTTGGGCTTGTGGCTTCTCTTCAGTGAAGCAAACACCTCTGTCATGTTGAGATAGTGGTCGCTCTCTGTTCATCATGGGGTCTTTGGGGCCAGTGTGGCAGAGAGCAGGCTTCTGGGGCGTGGCTTTGCATTTTTCTTGGGGCATCTTGGTTGCCAGTGCTCTGGGAAAAGAGATAAAAAGCAGAAAGATCTTTGAAAGCCAATGAAGGGACTCATCATTAGATCTTTCGAGTTTTAGGTTTTGACCCACTGCATACAGTACCAACTGGGGTCGTAAAGTGGGAGAGAGTGGGGTGGGGGTTGTTGAAAATGGGTGGGGAGAGTGTGAGTCGGGTTATCTCTTTGCTTCAGAGGAGAAGGGAGCATCTTCTCAGAGAAAGATGAACAATTTGCAGAGGGGAAATGAAAAGAGGAATTCTAGTGACACTCAGAAGCTTGGTAAACAGTCCTTACTTAAATGCATTGGGCCGCGGAGCCCTGTGCTGCTGGCCTTCCAGTGCCGAGAGCTGGGGGACGTCCTCGGGTCTCTCCTGGCTTCCATTTGCAAAGTACGAGGAGAGCTTTTTCTTGATGATATCTGCGTGGAGTGAGGGAAGAGAAGAAGCAAATCGGTGATGGAAGAGGGGGTTTGAGAGTCTCAGTGTTAGGAAATGTTGCGTTCACACGACACACAAGGCCAAGTCTGTCACAATGGATGAAAACCAGAAAACGTAAAGCCATTCCTCAATGTTTACTTATGGCATGTTCAAGAGGATTTAATCACAATCCGACCTGAGGCCGTGCACTGGCTAAGTCCATGGAGGGTTTGTCTGAATGTTTTATTTGGCAAGCGTGGTGTTTTCAAAAGCAAAAAACTGGGCGTGAGTGATCCCCAGAGATGGTGTCCCATTGCCTTCCTTTCCGCAATCATGCCGTCTCCCCGGTGCGTGAGCGTTGACCACACTTCAGTGGATTTCCCAGTCTTCAAGATGATCTTTCAGTATGCTGTAGGCACAGCTGTGGTGGACTCAGGTCATTTTAAGGCATCTCATGGGTGGGTCACTTAACAACAAAACCCTTCCCTCACTGCCATGCTGCCTCACAGTGACTACTCTGTAGGTGTCCGAGGCTGTTCTTCCACAGACCTGCTAGTGGTTTCAAACCACCAAGCACGTGAATTGCAGCCCAATGTGTAACCACTATACCACCCACTCTGTGGGTGGGTTACTAGTTTGCTATAATGGGAGTAAGTTCCCTGAACCTACACCAAGGTGAGTAGGCACTATGAGGGAGAACATGACCGGACAATGTACCTAGAATTAACTCCTTTGTGGGTCAGGGTGGGCACACAGATGGGCCTTTGTGGTTGCCTCTTCCTCTGGTGTTTCCATAAGTGCAGGGAGTATATATTTAGTACCTCAATGTGACCTTGGATTAATATGATAGACATGAGTCTCCTAGACAAAGATCCGCCCTTGTAAGAAATGATACAAGGAATTTCCTCCTAGCACAGAATCCCCATGATCAATGTAAACAGAGCTCAATCAATTAAGAAATCAATCTGGGCAAAGCAACAACTCATGGAATGCCACTCACAGGTGGAATATACTTGCATAAACTCCTCATATCAGCAGTACCTTAAATTATATGTCATTGGATAATTATTTATGTTATCAATACAATCGCCTTACAACCCAGGGAGGTAATTGGCAAATATTTTTCTTTTTTGTCACTTTTGTTTTTATTTTTTGTTTGTTTTTATTGTTCTTGTTCTTGTTTTTGCCATAATTTGACCGCCAAAGTAATCCAGAGTGGCTCATAATCCATGGACAAGCAGATAGAGTCTGGGCTCCCATTAATTCTAGCCCCAATCTAAAAGCAGCTCATTTATATAACATTGACCAATACCGTACTTGCCTTCATGAAGAGATCATTGAAGATAAGGGTGCTACAGAAAAGTGTGGTGAAGAAAGCAGATGGTGCTCTGCTATCAATTGGAACAATGTCTGGGGTCTAAAGGTAGCCAGCTAAGTGCGGCATCAACTAAGTCCTCATCAAAGAAGCACACCAGCCTGTGTGATCTGAAGATTCCAATGACAAAATTAAAATATGATGAAGGGAAATGTATCATAGCTTAAATTGTGACATCCAACTCGTAGAAGTTCTTGGAGGACAAAATCTGCAGAGCATCTAGAAAGATTAAGTCACTGGCAGATCCCCTCGGGCCACAGGCGAGGGACTCAAACAGCTTCCCTATCGCACAGAGGTGATTGTACACTTGATGATGGGGGATCGAGCCATGGCATAATGTGATACTAGGATACTTGGCCAGTTGACCTCCCTCGGAACCCAGCCTGAGTTTGTTCTAGGCTCAAGTGTTTTTTTTTGCCTGTTCCATGACAGAAATGTCTCCTCTGATTTTAAAAAACATTGTTAGTGGTCTTTTCTTTCTTACTCTTTTATTTTATTATTATTTTATTCTTTCTGTTTGATTTTGATTTTTTGATTGTTTCTGTTAGGTTCCCAGTTTAGAAGCACTGATGCAGTGGTCATCAGGCACGGGGTCACAGAGGGGATTGGGGAGCAAACAATGAATGTGGGAGGGGTAGGGATCTCTAGAACTGAGTGTGATGATCTATATACAGCTGTTTTAAAAGGTGATTTCACTATGGAAGGTATGCTATGTGAATATTTTATCACGAAAACTACCAAAAAACCAGAAAGAAACCAAACTTGACCAATGGTTACCATCGGTGAAGGAGGAAGAGTTTTTGCTTAGAGGCATTGAGTTTATGTTAATGGTGGTGGAATGATTTGGAAAAAGGATATCTATATTGGTTGTATTTAACATGAAGAATATAGTCAATGGCACCAAATTGTACCTGTAGAAGTTATTGAATTGCAGAATGCTTTGTTGTGTATATTTTTTCTACAATTAAAAAATATTATATATGCTAAACACAACAAATACAAAGAAGAAGAAATATTATAAAATTGATTAGGGTGATGATTGTACAACTTTTTGGGATATGATTGAACTATTGAATTGTATAATCTGTGGATGGAGTGCCAATAAAATTGTTTCAAGAGAAGTTACAGTCTTGGAAACTCACAGAGGCAGTTCGAGTTTGTCCTATGGAGTCAGCGTTGACTCGATGGCAGTGCTTTTAGTTTCTTGGAGTCTAGACTTTCTGCACCTCCTGTCACTGACGGCTCCCTTCTTCTCTGCAAGAACAACCACTGTCCCCAGACCTGGCTTTTTGGCATGCTCTCCTGGGCATGTAGTTGGCAAAGCTCTTCATGTGAATTAAAGTGGGAACCAACCAAACGGTCTCCCAGATCTTTGTCCAATAAGGAAGCTCTAATTCTAGGTTGGCTTCATCCACTTGATAAAGACAGGGAACTTGAAACTGGGAAGTCACTTACCTTCTGAGACTCACCTGTCAAGCCCAAAGCTGGAGCTTAGAGGTAATCTGCAACACCGACTGTTGGACATGACTCTTGGCGTTTCCATACCCACTCATGTTTGCAGGTACAAAAGCCAGGAGTAACGTCCAAGAGTTTATAATATATGCCATTATGATACCACATAATATAATGGTATATTAATATTTATACAGTGGTATAGTCATTCGATAGACTGCATTAATTGTGTGATTTTTCTAAGTAAGGGAATCCTGGTGGCATAGTGGTTGTGTGTTGGGCTGCTAATCGCAAGGCCAGCAGTTTGAAACCAGCAACTGCTCCTCGGGAGAAAGGCAGGGCTTCCTCTTGCTGTAAAGAGGTACCATCTTGGAAACTCACAGAGGCAGTTCTACCCTGTCCTATAGAGTGGCTGTGAGTAGAAATCAACTTCATAGCACTGAGTTGTTTGTTTTTAAATGTTTGAAGTGTTTCTTCTTTGGGGACAGAATGATTAGGGGGAGGGGGTATTATGAAGAACACGAGGACATCGTTTAGGGGCAAAAGAACCTTCTTTAGAGATCTGGTTTAAGGGAAGGCAGGTCTATCGTGAGATAGCTGGCTCTGCCTTCCAGCCTAGCTCTGGAGGATGTTGGGAAGGGAGGTGACATTCTCCAGGACTCCCAGGACAGAATGTCTTACAGAGATGGGGAGCAGTCGAGCTCCAGTGCTGCTGAGGGTCCCTGGAAGCCTGTGCCTGTATCCCAATCACTCACTGTGGACTAAGGCTCCGGTGGCCCTCCTGGCCTCTCCGGAGAGGGTACGTACCTTGCTGCAGCCTCTGCAGCTCCTTGTGGAGCTGCCTCTGCTCCCTGCTCAGCAGCTTCACGTGGGAGAGGCAGAGGGCCTCCAGTCTCTGCAGGCTTTGGCCCAGTCTGGCTTCAGCCTGCTTGGTGGTCTTCCGCTCCGAATCAAAGTGCTTGTGCATTCGTCCCTGGACCATGTGCCTTTCCATCCTCTTCCTTCTGGCCTGTTGACGGTGAACCAAGCAAGGTTCGCCCCATACCTAGAGGAACCCCTTAAACAATACCCAGCCACAGACCCCTGTGAGTCGGAGATCAGTGTGAGAAATGTGTGTTTTCTTGAAACCACAGCTGCCGAGTCCACTGGAATCACACGCATGGGGATTGTTTGCTCCGTAATACAATGGCTTCAAATGTGCAGGAGAAGGGTTGAGAGTCAAGGCATTCTCTGAGCCTCAGGCTCCTTGCTAAGACAATAAGGGTATCGTAAGTTCTCTACGTGTGCTACAGTCAGAGTGCTGTAAAGACCAAGTGAGAAGTACACACAAAACTCTGGGGTGCAGGGGGGTGGGGGGTGGGTGGGCACCCTGCATATATAGGGTACTGTTAACCCATTAAGATAAGTCATTGCTGTCACCCTTGAGTGTATTCAGAGCTTGGGGGGAGGATGGGAGGATCTGGCGTCTATGGCAGAGCGATCCTGGGGCCTCTGCATTTCCTTGATTCCCATATGCATGGCTGTGTTTGGGCTGTGCCAAGTGGTGTCCTGAGAACTGGGGCATCTCGTGACTGAGATGTGGTCCCTAACTCCAGGGGGCTATCGGAATGATGACTCCGAAATCTAATAATGCCTACCCAATCTCAAAGAATGGACAGAGCAGGGACTACTGATGAAGAACTAGAATAGCCATCCAATACGAGTGGTCTGGGCAGTGCTGGGGAAGGGCTTGGGCTGGACATCAACTCCTCTGTTCCAGCCCCCTCCCGTCTCAGATCTCACATCCTGCACACACTTCACGTTTCCTGATGCTCAAGCCTGAACCAACATCTTTCTCTCTTGACCTCTCCGGGACAGGGGCAGGTCTGCCCTCCCTTTGAGCCCTTCCAAATGCTCTTCTCTGAGCTCAGGACATAGGGCCCAGCCAGGATATAAGTGGATGGCCCTCCATAAAACTTTGGTGCTGATAAGACAGGAATCAGCTTAATATGAAAAGGGAGGACAAGGTAACAAAAGAGCCAAGAATGGTATTTTGAGACAGCTTGTTTTAGACTGGAAAGCAGTTCTACTAAATTCTATTAAAGAACTGAGAAAACAGCACTTACCTACCCAGCGACAGTTCTCCAAACGAGAATCCGGCTTGCTTCTTTTGTCAAGTCCGGCTGAGGCTGGATTAGGGAATTTATTTTTCTTCAGCAAGCTAATAAGTGGTGTGTGTGAGAGGGTGGGGCCTGTTGGAGAGGCCTAGGGAGGAATGCCGAATGCACTTGAAAACTCCTTTCTTCCCTCATTATAGCTTCAGATCAGGAATGCGGCTAACTCCCTAGGCCATGGATACCACTGTGTGGCTGAGATGCCAGAGCTCTAAGCAGCTCCATGAGTGAAGGGGATCTGCCAGTTTCTAGCCCTCCCTGGAGGCACCCACAGTGCTCCTTCTGAGCGTGTCCATGGGAGCCAGACTGGAAACAAGGAGCACCCCATGGTGTGTGTGTGTGTGTGTGTGTGCCTGCGCGCATGCTCTCCCTCTCTTTTTCCCACTTCCTCTCTTCTCCTTCCTTCCCGGCCTTCTTTGTATCCCTCTATCTACATTCCTCGTCCTAGTTCTTCAACTCCGGGTCAGGCCAAGACGAAGCCACTCTGGCTCCGGTCACAGTCATGAGCCTTTTGTGTAGGAGAGTCATTAATTTAAAGCACTTGATACTATTGCACACCCTGTTGACTTCTCCCAGACTTCCACATATGGTGTGCAAGCGTGAGGGCTGTCATTAGGCCTCCAACAGGAGTGACAGGAGGAAAAATGAAATGTAAATCCACTTTTGTGATCATGTTCTAGGCAGCTGCAGGAGAATGCTAAATGGAATGATTGGTTACATAACAAGATGTTCCCGGAGACTTGTGCTGTTACCATGGGGCCCCATCTGAAAACAATTGGTACTAATACTCCACTGAAAGCGAATTACAAACACTGGGGCCTGTTAATCCTCCCAGAGCTTACTAAGAGGCCGTCAGACAAGCCCTATTCCAATCATCACCCATCAAACAACCTCCTTCCGCTAGCTGTTCTGAGATTACTGGAGAGGCACTGAAAATTGCCCTTGGTCTCTCAGTGGGAAGGGATTCCTTTCCCGCCTTTCCCAAGAGGCACTTCTCTCCCCTCCAGAATTCAGATGAAAGCAACCGGGTTCTAAGAGCATTGTCCCAGACAGTGAGATGCCTCCTATAAAGGTGCCTGGCACGTCACTCCCCACCTGGGGGCTTGCTGAACTTGTAGCCCTGACCTTGGCTCTTGGTTGACCCCAGAGGTGAGAATCCGAGGGAGCTCTTGGAAGACTTTGCTTCTTGCATCTCTTGCTGAGCGAGTTGAGAACAGCAGCCGCACAGAACTAATCCATCACAGAAGGGTCATCCCGAGCCTTAAAGTGCTGTGCCTGGGTAAGGAAGTGTGTCCTGTTCCCACACTAGTGGCCCTCAGCTCTTTGAGAATGCCTCCTGCTTACTCGCTTGCGGTGAAGGAGCCTGGGGGTGATAAGAGGGACAGAAAGCCTGAGATTGTCCCTGGAAACCTCTAGTCAAATGAGGTTATGCTTTTTACCCGTAGGGCCTGCTGGGTGGCACAAATGGGTGACACTTGCTTACTAACCTGCAGGTGGATGATTCAGATCCACCCAGGGGCACCCTGCGAGGAAGTCTTAGTGATCCGCTTCTGTGAAAGATGAGTCAGGAGAAGCCTGCGAGTAGCTCTTCTCAGACACACTGGGGTTGCCAAGAGTCAGAATCAAATCGTCTACAAAGCTGAGGTTTGCTTGTTCGCTTGTTTTTTTCTTGCAGAGAAAGGAGGAAATCAGGCCAGAGCCAGAAGGGATCTGACCTCAGGAGAACTTCCTCTTTACAAGCTCACGGAACATCTCTGCATAGATCATCTTTACAGCAGAAGACAATAGTCGCAGGGAACAAGAATCGTCAGAACAATCAAGACTCCGTCCTGCCCTCCCCCGCCCATTCAAGCAGAGTGTAATGGGAAGCTCTTTCGCTCTCCTCTCCTGCTCCACCAGCTGTGCAGTGTTAAGTATTGTAAAGCGAAGGGAGAAGAGGTACACAGACCAGGATCTTGCTCTCTGTTCCACTCCGAGTCAATAGAAAGGAAGAGACGAAAAGACAGGTTATGCTTCCTCCTCTCTCCAAGCTTCTTGGAGTCCAGTGAGGACAGGTTTAAATTGTATACAGAATGGGAACTTCAAAATGAGTTGGAATTTTGTAACAACCAAGCCCACTGCTAATGAGCTGAAATCAATTCATTGCTACCCCGATAGTACTGCTCAGAGGGTTTCTGAGATTGCAAATCTTTAGGAGAGCAGACTACCTTATTTCTCCCACTTGGAGAAGTTGGTGGGTTTGAACTGATGACCTGTTGGTTAGCAGCCCCATAAGGCTCCCTATAGCCAAAGTGACTAGTTGCTGTTAGGTGCAGACAAGTCGCTTGTGACTCAGAGCGATCCTGTGTAGAACAGGATGAAACACCACCCAGTCCCGCAGCCATTGGGTCAATCCATCTGGTCCAGGGCCTTCTCCTTTCACTGCCTCTCTGCCTTACTAAGCATGATGCCCTTCTCCAGCGACTGGTCTCTCCTATAACATGTCCAAAGTCCACGAGACAAAATTTCATCCTCCTTGCCTTTGTTCTTTTGGCAGTCTATGGTACTTTCCAGCTTCTTTGACAGCACCATAATTCCAAGGTATCAATTATTCTTTGGTCTTCCCTATTCAATGTCCAACTTGCACACTCATAGGAGGTGATTGAAAACATCATGGCTTGGGTCAGGCATACCTTAGTCCTCAAAATAACATCTTTGCTTTTTAACACTTTAAAGACATCTTGTGCAGCAGCTTTGCCCCGTGCCATGTGTCTCTTGACTGCTGCTTCCATGAGCATTGATTGTGGATCCAAGCAAGATGAAATCCTTAATAATGTCAATCTTTTCTCCACTCATCCAGATGTTACTGACTGGTCCAGTTGTGAGGAGTTTTGTTTTCTGTCCATTGAGCTGTCATCCATACTGGAGGCTGCAACCCTTGATCTTCACCAAGGGCTTCAAGTCTTCCTCATTTTCAGCAAGCAAGATTGTGTCATCTGCACACTGGCGGTTGTTAATAAATCTTACTCTAATCTGGATCCCACATTCTTCCTATCATATAGCTTCTCTGATGATTTGCTTAGCATACAGTTTGAATAAGTATGATGAGAGGATACCGTTCTGATGCACACTTTTCCTGATTTTAAACCATGAGTCAGTATTCCCTTATTCTGTTTGAACGGCTGCATCTTGGTCCATGCACAGGTTCCATATGAGTAGGATTAAGTGTTCTGAAATTCCCATTATTCTCAGGGGTATCCATAGTTTGTTATGGCACCCATAGTCAAATGACTTTGCACAGTTAATAAAACACAAGGAAACTTTTCTTCTGTTATTTTCTGCTTTCAGCCAAGTTCCATCTGATACTCAGCAATGATATCCCTTGTTCCACACCCTCTTCTGAATCCAGCCTGAACTTCTGGCAGCTCCCTGTCAATGTACAGCTGCAATCATTGTTGGATAATCTTAAGCAAGATTTTACTTGCACATAATATCAATGATATTCTTCTATAGTTTTTCCCTTCTGTTGGACCCTTTCTTTGGAATGGGTGTAAATGGGGATTTTTCCAGTCAGATGGCCAACTACCTGTCTCCCAAATTTCCTGGGTAGATGAGTGAGTGCTTATGCTGCTTCATCAGCTTGTTGAAACTTACTGGTTCCTATTCCACCATTTCCTGGAGCCTTGTTTTTGGCTGTTTTAAGTACAATTTGGATTTCTTCCTTCAGTACCTTGGGCTCTTGCTCATACGCTCTCTTGAAATGGTTGAATGTGGACTAGTTTTTAAAATTTTTTATTTTGAGCGTGACTTTGCATATTATGTCCACCATCTTTTGATATTTCCTACATCATTTAATAGTTTGCCCATAGAATCTTTCAATATTGCAACTCAAGGATTGATTTTTTTTTTTTTTAGTTCTTTCCATTTAAGATATGCTGAACATTTCCCCCTCTTTTGGGTTTTCTAATTCTAGGTCTTTGTACATTTCATTTTAAGATTTTACTTTGTCTTCTTACCCTGCCCTTTGAAATATTCTGTTCAGCTCTTTGACTTCATTATTTCTTCGTTTGCCTTAGCTATTCTATGATTAAGAACCAGTTTGAGTCCCTTCTGATGCTCACTTTGATCTTTTACGTCATTCCTGTCTTTTTAGTGCCTTTTTGTTTTTTGCCTGTCTGATGATGTTGATGCCATCCACAGCTCTTCTCTCATTAGCATTTAATGCACTGAATTGTGATGTTCAGCAAATTCGGATGGGAGAGACTCCAGGTCATATTTTGATTCTTGTGGACTGGTTTTCATTTTCTTTCATTTCAACCTGAATTTTCAGTTTGTTCCACAGTTTATCCTTGGCCTGGTTTTAGCTGCTGATGCTGTGCTTCTCCATCATCTCTCCTCACAGATGTCGTCAATTTGAAGTCTGTGTCCTCCATCTGGAGAAGCCTACGTGTATTGTCACCTTTTGTGTTGTCGAATAAAGGTATTTTCTGCTAAAAAGTCTCTGGTCTTGCAAAATTCAATCATATCGTCTTCAGCTTTGTGTCTGTCTCCAAGGCAATATTTTGAAACTAGGGTCTTTCCTCTGTTTCCAACTTTTGCATTCCAATTGCCAATTAATGTCAATGCATCTTGATTACATGTTTGTCAATTTCAGATGGAAGATTTCATAGAATCCAATTTCTTCTTCACGAGGTTTAGTAGTTAGTGCATAAATCTGAATAATAATTACATCATTTTTTTTTGTCTGCAACTAGACATTATCCTATCACAGACAGCACTGTACTTTACGATTGATCTTGAAATGTCCTTTTTGATGAAGAATGCCACACCATTCTTGATTGTGTCATGCCCGGCATAGTACACCAGGATTTTCTGATTCAAAATGGCTGACCTCAGTTCATTTCATATTGATCTTTAGGCAGTCTATTTCATTATCCATGCCTTTCTATTGCCCCAGATGCATACTTCGCACAATCCAAGGTTTTGTTATTAGTAGGTTGTTGCAGCTGTTTCTTCTCATTTTGAGTTGTGTCTCATCAGCTAGTGAAGGTCCTTAAGGTCTGACTCCTGTAGGCTTTACTCCATCAGTGTCTCCAGGGTTACATCCACTTTGAGCAGGCAGTTCTTTCTCAGTCATATTTTGGGTGCCTTCCAACCAGTGGGGCTCATCTTCTGGTACTATCTCTGACAATGTCCTG